TTTCTTTTAACTCAAAATTTGAAGGTTAATGCATCTTCTTCCAGTTCATGTCCTTGATACTATCCCCAATGCTTGCAATACTTTCTTATTATTTTTAAAGTCTTAATTTTTTTTATTTTTTTCATTTCCTCCTAAGTTATAATAAGATTTTATTTTTCAAAGTTATAGGCTCAATCAATTGCCATTCCTTCAAAAGATGTAATAAAAATATTTTAAAGTTTTATTGAATTGACAATTTGATTAATTTTAGTAATATTTTTTAAATATCACACATTATTGATTTAGATTGTGATTTATTTGAAATATTGGATATGGAATCACATGTTGTAGCTTATTAAATAATGCTGATATATCTACCTCAATTGGTATAGTAACTAGTGCAAAAATGATGGTATGGTGATTGGAAAAGTTTCTCTTCATACAACTATGTTTTGTATTTGTAATTTTACTAGAAGATCTTAGATCCTTACATCTATTTCTATATTTCTAGTATTCATAGCTAAAACTTGGTATTTCACCTATTTTAAGAGATTCTTTGTAAATCCCTCTTCTTCTTTTGAGCTTTCTTTAAATGTTTTCACATGATAAAATGGTAATTTATCTTTATTATCTTTTCTAATAGAGGTGTCTTCTTTTGTAGCCATGTCTCCTAATACTGGTGGTTTGTTAAGTCGTACTTCTAAAAAAATAGCCTTGTTTATTATTCATTATGTTTATTGTCTCAAATTAAATGACCATTTCCAATATTATCACCAAAATTTTAGCTTAAGGTTTTTTTGGTTAATAGTGTATTGTAAAATAATAATTGCAATAAGAAGATACACCAAAGTGATAAATACATTCTTTGGTATAATATTTCTTTGCAACACAATAAAGTTTAAAATTATCTTAGAAATAATTGATCAATGCTTTTTTTCTTTTTTATTTATTTGAGTACAAAATAATATATCATTTTTTCTACACAATACTTCCAAAAATGGGCCAAACAAACTTATCATATTTATTCATTGCTGTACATCCAATTTTCAAAGAAAGAGAAAAAAAAATAAAAAAATATAAAAATTTGTTCATTCATTAATTCTTATATGCCTAGAAATTTCTTAACCACTGCTTTTATTCTAAATTCATGACAACACTATAATCAATTGCATTTTTATCCTATCTTCTTACTATATCATCATCCTTTCCTATTACAACTTTTGCTGAAGATTGTTAACGTCATCCAAGATGATGACACCTATGAAATATCAACTTATAACTCATTGATCAAATAATATATATGGATGGAAGAATAAGGCCTTTTTCACTCTTTTTAATGACTTTCTTGTGTTCTTGTCTTGGTTGAAGAATCTCTACTTTCTTTATATTTGATAATAGTCATTCTAATTTCTACCTTATATTTAATTTTTATTTGTCTATTTTCTTTCATTAAATGTCATAAGAGTGCATTACTTCTTTAGACTTTTTTAATGATTCATGACTTGGATAATAGTCTAATATTAAAATATTATTATAAAAATAATAAGAAAAAATATTAATAAAGATTAAAACCATAAAAAATGATTTATAAGACTATAGATGTTTTTAATCTTGAATCCATATATACTAGCTACTATAAAGAGCATGTTGAAGCTTTCTAAGAACCATAAAACTTATGACCAAAGCATTAAAGTTGTTGGTTGTTTTTTTTTATTAATCTTAAGTAATACGCTACTTCTAAGAAAAGCTGTTATAGTCATATGTCATATTTATAAGAATCTAAATATTTTATTTTAATATAAGATTTATTTATAATTTTATCTAAAAATATTCTTATGACATCTACTTACTTCTATTAACTTAATAAAATAAGTATTTATTCCAATAAATAATATATAAGTACAAGGTTTTTTGATAAATTAATATGTAGTTAATTTATATAATTATGAATTTTATATTTTTATATTTATATATAGTCTAAAATTTTGAAATTTAATTTTTTGGATGTAAATTTTTTAAATGATTTTTGTTCAATCTTACAAGGTTTCTACTTAGACAAGGTTTTAACAGTATCATGCCATGAAAATAGCTAAAACAATACTTGAAGAAATAGTCAAGTACTAGTGATAAAGATTTGTTTTAAACAAGAATTTGACATATATAACTAAATTAGTAAAAAAAAAAAATAGTAGTTATGAAAATCAAAATATTTAAATAATAAATAATAAGATATGAATATTATATTTAATAAATATAATCAATATTTTTTAAAAATATTTTAATTTTTATCAAAAAATAAACAATCAAAGTAATAATCATAAAATATCACTTTTAGAATTACAAAACAATTCATTTATTAACTTTTTATAAACCAATTTTGATTTAGATAATGTATATTTAACTTATGGTAATTTTTAGCATGCCATATATATATATATATATATATATATATATATATACATATAATTATTATATGTTTAACATTTTAAAATATTTTTAATATTTTTAATTTTTATATAAATTTATAATATTTTTTATTAGATATATTTTTTATATTTTTATTAATTTGAAATATTTATTTAAAAGAAAGAAAAATTATAATCTTAGTTTTTTATTTGAAAAAAAATAAAAATAATATATATATATATATATATATATATATATTCCAAATTTTTATTTTTATAATATAATACATTATTTGTGTATTACTTTTTATTCTTTTTATTCTAAATCATAGATAGGTATAAGAGTAATTTCATTTTCTAAAAGAAAAAGACTTGTCAATTGAAATAACTTAGTATTTACAAAGAAATATAAATGATATTTATACATACATTTTTTTGTAATATTAATAACAACCTATGTTTTAAAAAAAATAATGGTTTTTTTTGCAAATAAAGTCTTGAAAGATAGATTCTATGTTTTATGGTTAATAAAACTACTTAAAGATAATCTAAGTGTAAATAGTATATATTTATATTCATTGCGTACATAATCATAGTAAATTATACTTTTTTGTTTTGGTTTTGTATAAGCAATGATATATCATTATTTTGGTTTAATAAAACATATTAAATATGTATATATCTATATCTATATATATATATATATATAGATATACATATGATGATAAATTCTAATATAAGTATTTAAAAAGTTAGTATTAATATTTTTTTTGTTCCAAATAACGCAATTTATAAGAAATGATTATTAAATAAGTATTATATATATATATATATATATATATATATATATCATCTTTTTAATACAAACATATAAGAGTTTGGATTAAAGAGAATAAACTAAAATTAAAATAAATAGTAATAAGATGCAATAAATTTATAAGATTTTAAAGCTATAATTAAAATAAATATATAATAACTTTCGAAGTAAAATTCTTTTTATTATTTTTTATTATATTTTATGCTAATCTGTTAGCGAATATTATTTTTGTAATATCAACATATTTTGTAAGAAAATTCAATGTATCAAAACATTATTTTAAAAAATAGTTTTTATATTAAATTTATTTTAACCTTTCTTCTTTGACACCTTGTTTATTATTTGAATCAATAATACAACTCAAGTTCTAAATTTAATAGAATTTACTTGTGACATAAGAAAATTTGATGTTTTTTAAAAAAATTACTAGATAACAAACAACAATCTTAGGATTCTTTTCTTCATGCTTATGATACATAACATATTTACAAAGTTATCACTTTTGAAATGTTTTTTGTGTTATTGTATTCATTTAATATTTTAGATTTATTTTCTTAAAAGGTTGTTAATGATTGACAACCATGATATCAAATGCACTAAGTGATCAAATCCAAAAAGACTATTGATAAGAGTCTTTTATTATATATATACATATATAATTTCTCAAATAAATTAAAAGTGGTTTATATCACCTTTGACATTAACCTTTCATGTCAATTAGATTTTCAATCTTGCACACAAAAAGCCAAATAAAGGCATAGACGGGTCACATCCTCTTCTTTATTTCGCTTCAGACCCATTCTAATTCAGTAGAATTATTAAAAAGTTATCTCAATATAGTTTCATATATATATATATATATATATAGACATGTATATGGAGAATTTTTTAAAGATGCAAGCTAGTTGATATGCACAAGTATCAGTGATAAGCACTCTGCATTAGTTTCTATTTAAAAAAATAAAATAAAACTATAGTTAATCTCCTTCTTACCATGGACAAAAACCTAAACTTATCCAAATCCAGGCACACCTCGAAGTGCCCACCGACACGTGGCAATTGATACCGTCACGTGTCGGCGGAAGTATACGTGGAACCTGAAATTCCCGTTCACACCGCATCTGGGTGAGCCGGACACATTCCCACGGTAAGAGCAGTTCAGAAAATTCGCATTTGCCGACGCACGCAAAGTTAGTGGACGGGGAAGATACCGAAGCACTCGGTTGCAAATCGACAAACCGTGGGGACAGATTTCGAATCTGCCCGTCATGGTTCGGCAAAGCTCAAATTGATGGTACCCAGGGGTAAAAGAATCCAGCTTAGGGTCTCATCTATGATTGTTGTTGCGGTGGATGGGGCCCAGGAACGGCAGAACGAGCCTGATCATGCCACAGCCTGTGCGGGAGCACCATTAATGTGGCCGCCCACACCCATCACAAGATCCGAATCTGGGAGAGCTCTGCCGCATTAAGTAGGATCCCCCACTTGATCCCTGCAGGTCCAACACAGCAATCCGATGAGCTTCGTTGCGAAGCCAATGATTTGCCAGTTGGGAGGAATTCAAACTCCTGTTGGTGGTCCACGGCCATGGCGTTGGCATTCACAGCCTTTTTCTTCCAGCACGCGGTTCCTGCACAGTGAATTCCTGCGCCTCACCATGTCGTGGGTAAATTCAGCAACCCGTGGAGCAGGAGCTACTAGTAGGGTCCTGATTTGGTTTAGTTTAGTCTAGGCTAGGCTAGTCTACCCTCCTTGCGGGAGGATAAAGTTCCACAGGAAGCTATTGTTCTACGCTACCTCAAGTGTTGCTGGTTAGTGTTGCTGCCGTCGGAGCGGAGTCGCGTCGTCTCCGACCTTGAACTCATTTGTAAATATCTGCGTGGAGGTGGGTGGATCACCAAGCGTTGAGCTTCTATTGAGCCCTGTTGTGGTGAATTACTCAGTTGATACTTGCTTGCTTGTTTGTCGGTTTGGAAGTGTTCCGGGGTGATTCAAGAGTCCAGGCCTCAAAATAGGTTATTGGTATGTGTTCTCCTTTTGTAATTTCACAAAGTGTGATTTATGGGTGCGTTTTTTGCTGTTATGCCGTGAAGCAGTGGCTTCTGTTCTGTCATGTGGGCTGCGTCGACTGCTTTGTTATATGGCGCTCTTTTAAAATGCTTGCGGCTTGCAGTTGCTCGAAGATGGTGTTGTCGATGTCGTACACTCTCAACTGAGGTTCCTTAGGACCTCAAGAAACCTTTACCGTGTTTTGATATGGCTTGGGTAATTTTGTGTGGTTGATGTGTTATAGAAGTTGTGTTCTTGTTTGAGTTCAGTAAATGGAGTTGTGTCCTGGGAGGTGGTACGAAGTACTGGCGGGTTTTCAGGCCGCTTTCGTTTGTATTGGTTTCCTATGTTCGAGTCGCCTGGCTCTTCGTTTACTCAATTGTGTCGTTTACTCAGATGTTTGACTCTGAAGCACCTCGTACACGTTTCACTCCACACTGGGATGGTTCTTGCGTAACTGATTGCTATCAGATTCAAATATTCCACACTCAACTTGCGTGCATTTATCTGGTCTGTCATGTGCCGTAATTTCCTAAGGAAAGAGAAGATCTGCCGGTGATGGATTGCTCCCCCATTTTTGCACTCTACCGGGATGACTGAGATGAATTTGTGGGTCATGTGTGTTCTAGTATCGTATAATAACTTGAGTCGGAGCTCTCATCCTTTCTTCTGTGATACGTACCTATTCCAGTCGCTAGCGTGCAGTGATACCCTGTCTATGTGTGTGCTTGGTGTAATACTATTTCATTTTGTTGCTGTCCCTCTGGATGCTTGTCGTATTTAGTACCTTCTGTTGACATTACAACTTACCATTGATGTCATCATCTAACGTTACAACACCGATCCCTATGTATGTGCAGGTTGATCAAGTCGCTGGCACCCTGTACACTTGCCACAACTATTTAGTGCGCTTCTTGCTATCAAGCCTGCCAGACCAGAATGGCAACCATAACACAAACTGGAGCTCTGTCAGTACTCCTCTCATATTGCCCCGCGCCTGCACATCAAAGCCACACAACGCCGGCGCTGTTCCCACAATCGTCTCTTGCGAGCAGTAGTAAGCTTAACCAGCCAATTCTCAAGGGTGCCCTCTCTTTCGGCTTCGGCAACGGCCAAGGAAGACGATCAAGTGGGAAATCCTACTCTAGCAGGTCATTCGACAATGGTCTTCCACTCGATCAACCATTCAGCGAAAACGATGAAGATTATGTCGACTCAACTGTGCTGGAGGCTTTGGAGGTCAAGAGTGGACCTGAGGGCTTTATTATCAAGATGCGTGACGGGCGATTCTTGAAGTGTGAGCACAACATGCCTGAGTCGGGTCATCTTCCCGAGTATGGCCCCCAGCCAGCGATCGTTCTGCAGTTGAACAATGCATCCAAATTGCTGCTGCCCATCATCGTGTTGGAGCTTCCGTGCACCATGCTGCTTGAGGCAGTACGCAACGTCCCCATCAGTCGGCCCACTGTCTACCACGTGATGAAGGACATGATCGACGTGATGGGGTATCAACCTAAGATGGTTCGCATCACGCGGCGCGTGCATGAAGCCTACTACGCTCGTGTGTACATGAGCAAAGCAGGAAATGAATCTGGAGAGGTCGTGAGCTTAGATCTTCGCCCTTCGGATGCTATAAACCTCGCTATTCGGTGCAAGGTCCCCATACAGGTGAACAAATCGCTAGCTGAAGGAGATGGTGTGCACGTTGTGGCAGAGCCTTTGAAGCTTCCGTCACGTGCATTACGATCTTCTTCAGTTCTTACTGTGGCTAACCTAGATCGACCCGACTCCAGTCGCTGCGGAGCAGCAGAGGAGTTTATCCTGGTTCGGAATATGATGATTGCAGCTGTGGAGGAACGGTACAGCGATGCCGCCAAGCTGCGAGACGAGCTCAGGCAGTTCCGTGAGAAGAGAAGATCACGTCAATTCAAGCAACTGTGATTTTTGAAGCAGTTGTCATTCATTGAGAGGGAAGGTAAATCTAGAGACTATTCATTGATTTATCTGTGCACTGCAGTTGGATCTGAAATGTCTTGCAGGTCACGCATCTTCACAAAACTGGAAGGTGCTGGGAGGGCTTGTGTATTTGGAGAGGTGTCTGAACAAGAGCTGTGGTGAATATGTTGTTCATATTTTTGTATAGTGGGACTTGATCAAATCACTCCACATGTCTGATTTGATGTGTGTAGCAGGATGCCACAAGTAGTATACAGGATTAGATCTTCTAGGCGCGTAAATATCAGGATTTCTGGTGAAATATTGTTCTCTACGAGCACAGGAGGGTGCTTTTGTACAAATTATTAAGGTCCCTTGGGTCACTGTAGATTGTATATACCTTGGTTGGGTCGGGCAGTAACCACTACTGCTGGGCTCCTCTTCTTGAGCTCTAATCTGTCGAAATCAACGGCATCGCTTGTTGATGCCTTCGTTATGAATGTGAAGTCTCCAGGTTCGTGGCGGATCATGGTGAACAACATTCTCGATGAATTGATTGCATTTCTTTTGTCACTTCTCATCAATTCTAATTCGACCATTGTGATCGCTTTTCTATGGTTTACGTTGCATGCGTGTGCTTGAGTGAAGTGGACAAGGCTACAGTTTATGTAACTTGAACGTATGCTATACTTGCGGGATCACAATCATGTTTTTATTGAACGTTGTGTTGCAATGATCCCATTTCGGTGATGTTTGAAAAACGGTTCAAGCGAATGTCCATACTCTGGCGGTGCCGCTCCTTCTCATGTAAGAAACCGGAGAATAATTGGGGGGGACGGTTGAGCATTCTGGACTGGAAGGCTGCAGCTTGGTGAAGAGCGGATGTTACTGACTAGTGTGGAGAAGGCGATGTAGAATTGAAGACCAGAGGAAGCACAGCTGTTTGGAAAGTGTGTTTTGTTTAAATCTAACAACGTTACAGTTTTTGACTGAGGATTAAGACGGCTACGTGACAGCAAATCGCTTCGGATATTCACGAGACCGCAGACTATCTCGCACTTGCCTTGATTTTGTCTTGGCAGAAGGACCTTCACGATGTCTTCGTTACAAGGGCGATTTTGTGGATTGTGCGACTGGAGATGAATCTTATAGCAGCAGGGACCGTCAGCATCTGCCGCTGAGTCTCTTGAGGAGAGCTCCACCTATTGTATTAGTTCTCCTCAAGTGTTCATAACTGTAGCAAGCTGGAAGATGGTGTCAAATTCTTCATGACTGCCATGTTCAGATTCAGGTTTTAGGCTCCGTTGAAGAATTTTCCTGAGGCACATTTCCATTAAGAATGAAACACTCTAATTTGCCGCATTTGAGTTACTAAATTCTTCAGCAGTTGTTACCCGTCCCTGCTGTATAGGCGATTTAAAACTCTGTTAATGGCAGCCCACGAGCATGCCATGTCCCTAATTTAAAATAGACATGTTTTGAGCACAGTTGGCGATTATCAGAGAAACTCGTTACATGGGTTTGTGTCCACTAACAAGCTGCTGCATGTGACCCACACATGAAAAAATCTCACCCACCCACATATGTTTGACTAGCTCACTCCAAAATTCACTGAAACATAAGGATGTGCAACATTTTCTTCTCTTGTATCTCTATTTCATGTGGTGCAGCCTCAGGAATTTCCAGGCTGAAGGAATAAAGGTCAACACTCTCATGGAAAATTTCTTTTCTGTGCAGGTTTGATGCGAAGGTTCGTTCGAAGCGCTTTAATTCTGCCATGTTGATTCGACAGTACTCACCTCCAAGCTTTCTCTGCAGGAAATTGTGGGAGGCTCAATTACAGACAAGCTGAAGCTTCTTTACTAGATTCAACGGATGAGTCTTATGAATTGCTATTTCGGAGATTAAGATCCTGTGTCAGGATGACGGCTCTTCTAGAGCTCTTAGGAACGACGATGATTTCGGCAAACCTTATAGAGCCCAGCAAATAACGCTATGCCGAAGTGTTTTTTTTTTTTTTTTTTTTTTTTTTTCTTTCTTTCTTTCTTTCTTTCTTTCTTTCTTTTTTCTTTTTTACTGATGCAGAGGGCTTTGCTCGCAATGTTTCGATGCTCTTCCGTCGATGATGATATGTGGGTTCAAGCGCCTGGTTGCGGTAATCGGTTATTTAGTGACTTTGGTCTGAAACCCTGCGGAACCATGCAGATGTGTAGACAGATTTGAAAATCGTATTTTATGTTCATTCTAACGACTCATTAAAATTCGAAAATCGTATTTTATGTTCATTCTAACGACTCATTAAAATTCGAAAATCGTATTTTATGTTCATTCTAACGCGCATTGACCAGGTTTAGCTTCTTTTCTGAAAGAACGGTTATATTCAACGATTTTACTTATCTATTCCTGCTTCTTTGCTGTTCTTATCTTCTTCCTCTACAAACTTATGCTTGGCACTGGGCTGGACTATATCTTCAGTTCTTACAACGAGAAGAGTTGTAGTGACCAGAATTTAGGCTTTTCATATCTACGACCAACATAATGCATACCATCCCATTTGCACTGCCATGTACTGCAAACTTAAGCTTCAAATAAGGTTCACAACAAGGGCTCTAAGGAGTAAAACCAGGGCATCGTCGAGGATGCAAGGCCCGGCAATTTCAACCAGGAGACTAACATCTGACTTGTAAATTCGCAAGAACAAGGCAAAACTGAATAAGGTTCTAAGTCTTGATAGTCCAAGACAGTTTGGCTAAACGCACGACCGAATTCGGCACAATCTGCAGCCTCAGTTAGACTTAAGTTGTCGTTCGACATGCCCACAAGGTAAGACAACTGTACATCGTGTACAGTCTCCTGCGACACTGCCAAGTTCATCTGCTGCCCACCGTCACGTTCGTCCATAAATAAGTCAGGTGAGTGGAGAATTCTCGAGTATTTTCAGCATATTCTAAAGAGGAATTCGAACGCAGCTCTACATGTTCTAAAATTACAAGTTGGATCGCTCAATTCTCCTCAGCAGCTTCGAATGAATCCTCGGAATAGCTCATCTGAATCGCTCCAGGAGATAGTGTAAAAACTGGAAGTAGATTATTCAGAGGTAAGAGCTTGAAGACAGATGGCATGAGATGGTTCGGTTGATCTTAATCGCAACAAAACATTGTCGCCAATCTTCAAGCTTTTGACAGATATCCTCACCGCTCCCGCTTCACCTGTGCCGTACTGTGCACTCAAACACAGAGAATCGCTGTGATGGAGCATCACACTATGTCGTCGTCCCTCGCTGTGCGCTTCGACTAACACCAATGGCTTCGCAGTTGTAATTGCGTGGTCTATCGGTATGGATCTCACCCGGCCGTAGGTATCCACCGCTAGAACTCGTTGGTCAGACTCCAGGTACGCGAGTTTCATCGCCATTCTCCCCTCCATGGCGATATAGGATCCTGACGTGCCGGCGCTCAATCTGTGACACGACATAGCATCTCCTTGCAAGAGAAACAATGCTGAGGGTGACGATCCTACTAACAAACCCTCTCCTGGCCGAAGCGCACCGCGGAGGATAATCTCCACGGATTGGGCCAACCCGACTACAAAAGTCACTCTCGAAATTACGACCTGCGTCAAAGGCTCAGTGATGGCAAGGTTGGAATTCGTGGATGTTGTATCGGCATTGCCGCTGGCAAAAAGCTCGTCGCTCTCGTAACACGACGGGCGTGTATTCGTGACAAGGAGCTCGGTGGCGAGTTCGTTATGGCGGGTGGCGCCGTGATAGATGCTGAAGAGGTCGTCATCTATGTCGTGGTGATCGGTGACAGTGGAGGTGGATTTGAAGGACGATGACAAGTTATGCCTTACAATACTTGAACGTTGCGAGGAGGATGACAAAGAAGCTGCAACCAGAGGCAGGGAAAGCCGTTTGGTTCCCAAGGTGTTCTCGAATTCAGCAACCTGGTCTCCATAGCTCAAACGCGGTGATGGAATCACGGAGGTTGGGGAATGTGGCTCTGAGCTGGACCGGATGACTTGTACTCCTCCACTTCTCCGCATTCTGGTCACGCAGCATGTAAGGTTTTGAAGGTAAAACTCTCGTCTCCGGTTCTTCAAGCTCTTGTCAAGCACCACATGCGCCGCGCCCTGTTTGATGGCTTCTTTGACAATAGCCACCTCTGGCCGATGCGCTGCTTTCACGATTACCACCAGCTGTAAGCCTCCTTCCTCGCACCGATACTGTAGCCCTGGAAATTCTTTCCACATATTTATCTTGCAACGAATCTCTTCCTCCACGAGCTTCTGGTTGGCAGTCAGCCATTTCTGGTCGCCAACCTTGATCGGTATCCCAAATGGCCCGCGGATAGAGCTTAAAACAGAGACAATGGTAAGAACATCGCCTCTCTTGAGAGTGTGCTCCATCGCCCAGATAATGCCTGCATGAGAGATCTCCCTCACGCTCGCGTCGAAGGCCAACGTAACAACGTTCTGGTTCTCTCGACGCGATTCGTGCAATCTACTACTGCTGAAGCATCTGCAAATGCTAATCTCTGCCTCTGCGTTTTGAGAGGGATCTCTTTCTAACGACACTGTACCAAGGTTAAGCTTCAAGGCACCCAAACATGCACCTTCCACTTCCGAAAAGCTTGCATCGGAGGGTCGTGAGCTTAGCGGTTCTGATGAAGAGCTGTGCAAGCTAGAGCCCGGACTTGTTGTTTTCCGAAGCCCGAGAAAATTGCGGAATGAAGAGGTTATGTTACTGATTCGCGGTGTTTCGTGGGGACTAATTCTCAAATTTCTCCCTCCACCTCCGTGCCCAGCAGCTTGTGCCATCTCAAATAATCTTCAACTCGCTCACAACCTTCACATTTCTCAAACATCACCAACTTGTATCACACCCTCGAAGGATCACTTGGACCCTATACATCTGCGTCTTGATTTTCTACATTCAAGCAGAAACTTAGAGCGCACATCGTAAACCTGCGTCCTCCCTGAGACACCACCGAAGACTACACTTCCACAATCACAGCAACAATGTCGAATGGGGACGCTGATATCCTGAGGCAAGGTCAATAGAATCAGGATCAGTTCTAGCACTCAGCCTTCCATCAATCGCGGTCCCAAGTCTCACACGTCGCAATGTCAACAACAAATCTTCACACGCACAAAACCTGCTATCTCTATAACGAAAAAATACGCGCAAATGCAGGGATTCTCAGTCCAAAAATTCAGCACCGCTAACATAGCCTAAATTCGATCCCCTTGATATCTATCACTACGATCCGTCACAAGATTCCAACATCAAAGCAACAGACCATACTGTAGCCATTTCCGTTGATGACTTTGCCTTCAGAGAGAAAAAAGAAAAAAGAAAAAAACTCCACAACAAAGGCGCCTGTCAACGGAACCGGCAGCGGATTCACAACCTAAACAAGAAATTGTACAGAGATATAACCCCCGAGAACTATAAAAAGAAAAACACACTGTCTCTTCACACACGGGCTAAGCAAGCAGACACCGAGCTTCATCAACGACCTCTAACTTTGTGTAAAAGCTTCCTCAACGCATCGCTCAAGCTCCCCTACATTGCTCCATTCGTAGATGGCGGACAGATACTGAGGAATCCTCCCACGGTGAGATTCCTGACACGGATTCTCCATGGCAAGCGTGGTTACACTCAAGGCTCTTGGCCTGCAGGAGGAGCGTCACGAGAAGATTCAAAATAGAGCTTGAATTGTGCTCTCACGCTTTCTCTTTCCCTGCGAGGAGGATGCGCCGACAGATCAGCCCCATTCCCGCGGCTCCCATTCCCGCGGCTCTCCCGTTATTCTGGTCCCCGCATGGTACATCTCGAGCCCGCTCCAATCCTTTCCCCCTCGGTCGAAACCCGCGTTTCTTGCACCATCCTGGTATCTTTTTCTTTCCGCCCCGTTTCTTTCCCCCTTTGTCTTTTTTGGCTGGAGGTGTGCACCATGAGCTTCTATTCCATACTCGCTCTTTCAAATGAGGCTTGGAAGCGTGATCCTACATGTTGCGTTTTTTATTTTCTTCTTTCAGATGATAATTTAATGATAATTTAATGATAATTTAGTGAGATAAAATAAAAATGATATAGTTTCTTCATTCTTTATATTTGTCATTCAAAAATGGTATTGTAGGATTGTAAGCCTAGGAAAGGATGATTACATAGATATAATGCTTTGGGGAGTAGAGATGTATGTGTTTTCAAAATATGCATTGCCAGAAAAGGAATTTTTAATTTATAAAATTTTAAATTTATTATTTTTTACAATTTTATTTTCCCTTTTTATTGAATAATAATGATTGATAAATAAATAAATGACCTCCACCATATGTTATTAATTGATACCCTGTGACAGTAACCACTCCCTTATTCTACCTTCAAAGTTGGAAAATAACCGGACAACATATTAATGAGAACATGGTCAAAAGTGCAAACTCAGGCATTAAATGCCTTGTCACTCATTCAAGTATATCTGTATATGTAGAGGGAGAGATGTATGTGTAAACATGAAATAAAGAAGCAAATTTGAAATCTTAGAAGAAAATATATTGTAAGGAAGCAGAAAACTAATGAATGGTTAAATGAGAAAGAATGTTCTGTTCCAAAAGATTAGATTAAAAACTCCCAAACCAGACACTCATCCTTATCTTATCTTAACCACACAAATAATCTGAATTATTCTAGACATGCAATTGACATTGTTGGTACTCGTGGAGATCGTTCAGTTCATTTTTTAGCATACCATTTGCCACCATAAACAATGACAAGAATGGAATAAACGAGTTAGGCATAACTGATTTTTATCATTTTCTGTAAATAAATGCTTAAGTTTCGACCGAGCACAACTATGTTCTTATTATTGGAAAACATAGAAGTACGGAATAAATTATTTGTGGCAGTACAAATATTATTCTGAGGTGCTGTGACAAGTAATACCTAGAAAGACCAATCTGTGCTAAAGATGTCCACAAGGGCCACATTTTTTTAAAGTAAAAAGCTTTAATATTGATGTGATATAGTTTGTAATGTCATTACCTCTAGAAGATGTTCTTTTGTATTTGGATTATTTCTAATGATGTCATTATTGCATAAGCTTGACTAAGAAAAAATTTCAAATCAAAATCATACCACAAAAAAATTATAAATATATACACACACATACATAAATATAAAACACATATCCTTTATTCAAGTATAAACTTTTTTTCAAAATGAAGAATATGCAAATATTGATTTGATGTGATGTAAGATTTTTTATTTTTTATTTTTTTAATCTTATTATTCAAATAGCTGAAATATATATATATATATATCAAGAGAAAAAAAAAGAGAGAGAGAGAGATTTCATGTAATCTATAACTAATAAATGAAATATAAATGAAATATACATCAATATTTAAAAAAAAAAATAAATAAATAAAATAAATTTAAAATTTAAAATAATTTTTTCTTATTAAATATTTTTACATATAAAATCTATTTATTAGGTAGAATCCTATTAAAATAATTTTATAAATAATTATATATATATATATATTTATATAAAAAAAAGAAAAAAGGAATATTAAAATTATATTATTAAAAGATATTTATGATTATTTTATTCTTTTTAAAAAATTTATAAATATATATAATAAAAAAATATAATATATGTATATTTTTTTAAAAAGTTGTTAATATATTATAAATCTTTAGAAATAAAGAAATACATTGGTGCCTCTTAAATATATCAAATCTATTGACATCTATGGTAATATAAATACATATTACATATTCATATGTGCTTTGAAAAATAAAGAATTCTTCACTCTTGTCAATGCCTTTTTTATATTTAATCTTGTTTGAAGAATCTATAGTCTTCTTATCTTTGATAATTGCCATTATAATATTAATATTATGCTTGTTTTGAGTGGATATATAATCTTTTTTGGTGACACTAGAGTATATTAATTCTTTGGTTGCTCATGATTCATGTCCTTGATATATTATATAGATAAAAATTATAGATAAGATTATTTGACATGCTATTGTAAAAGTGATTGATTTAAGAATATCTAAGATTGTATTATAGACATACATATTTATCTTAATATTTACTTATATGATTAAGTAGAAGTAGGTAAAATTAAATTTATTTTAATATATTTTTTAAAAAAACTTCCTAAAAACTTCATATACATTGTTTTGATTTTACATATGTTTGTAGTTGATTAATAGGTTAGTAACTTGGTCAACAAGTTAACCATGTGGTGATAGCTTGCAAAATAAGCTAACTATGTGGCATATATATAAAAAACTTGTCTTGCAAGTTAAGACATGTATCTTGCAAAATCAATACATTTTGAGGGTCTTATAGGACATTGCCACATAACTTCTATTTAAGAGTATATATAGAGGCAAGAGTGAAGCCTTCTTTACTTTTTTCAATGCCTTTCTAGTCCTTAGACTTATTTCAAGACTTTTTAGTCTTTTTGTCTTTGAGCAATAGCCATTCTAGTTTAATACTATATCATCTTTGAATGATTTTTTAATTCTTTTCAGTAATATAAGACTATATTCAGAATTCCTTTCTTCAAAATTCATGTCCTTGACAATTTGACAAGAGTGCCAATTTATTGTTTTTGTCTTGTTTTAGAAGTGAGTGGATTATTCCACTTCTATTGTTGTATTTTGAAGGTTGCAAATTACCCACCTTTAAACAAACTGTTGAGTTTTCTAATACCAATTTTTTTCTTTTAAAAGAATAGATTATCTCTCTTTGTAAAAAATTTCATTTGATATTAGAGGTTATGGATTATCCTCCTCTAATTTAACTTTTGGATTTGTTAAGTTGTTTGAAATGGAAGGAAAAATCATGGATGGTATACTTGGTAGAAGTGAGAATAAATTTGCAACTATTGTAGATCTTAACAAACTTATCAACACTCTTAGAGTGGAAATTTCACACATTACCAATATCAACCACGGAAATATTAATCTTATGCCTATAGAAGATATTCAAAATTTATGTCAAGAAGTTGTGTAGTTGAAGGAAATAAGTAGATTAATTTTACAACCAAATTCAAGAAGTTTTTCTTCTACAAGTATGACAAGGATATGGATACAACTAAATTCAAGAAATATGATAAGGATATGGATTACTATGTCTAATAAGTTTGATGGAACAAAATCAAAATTTTGAGGATTTTTGCAATAAGTGAAGCTCTATTTAAATTTATATTCCTTCCAATATCTTCATGTATTTACTCAAGTTAGGTTCATAAGCACACTTCTATTTGGAAGTACTCTCTTTTGGTTTGCACTATTAATGAAAAAATATTTCACAACTCCTTTGTGATTTGAATTTATTCTTAGAAGTCTTTACTACTATATTTAGAGATAGTGATTAAAAAAGAATAGTAAGAATTAAGCTCGTATCTTTACAACAAGGATTATTGTTAACTACTATATATACTGCTCAATTCTCAAACCTTGCTGACAATGTGGATTAAAATGACAAGCTCTCATCAATCAATTTTGATATGGATTAAAGGATAACATTAAAGATTTCTTATTGACAATGTCAAAAGAAAAATCTTTAAAATAATTTATTGTTTGAGCCATTTCATGCAATAATTGATTATTTGAAAGGCATCAAGAACATAGATTTGGTTGGAGAAGAATAAGCCAAGTAATGATGGTAGGTCTTAAGTTTTCAAAAACTTATATATGAAGGTCGAAACCAATGGAAATTGATATAATATTTTTTAAACTTCTCATTGAGCAAGAAAAGACTTGACATTCTCAAGAAAGTTTGTACTTATATTATAGAAAAGCTAAGCCACATTGCTAAATATTGTCCAAAGACAATGTAATTACAAAATAGAGAGTATAATTGCCAAAGAAGATAATGTGTTAGAAAATAAATTTCTCCAGCTATAATAAGGATTGAGCACTTGGAATCATGTGCAATATTTAATAAATTTCCTATTTTTATTTCAGATTTCTCACCTTGTTTTACAATAGATGTATGTTTAGGACTTAAAAATCACAAAGTCTTTGCATTATTAGATTTAGGAGCCTCAATCTCTTTTATAAATAAAGTCTTTATTAAAAAATAAGAAATACCTTTAATCAAGAAACCTAAATTAATACATGTAGAAGTCATAGATGATTATTTTTTATCTTTGAAGATATTACTTATGAGACTATTCCTTTAAATATAATAATTAAAGATTATAATAGTATAGTAAAATTTAATGTGATAAAATCTCCTTCCAATTAAATTATTTTAGAATTATCATGGTTAAAAAAAATATAATCTTTAGATAGATTAGATTTCTTATAATCTTAATTTTTCTTATAATTCATCCAAAATTTCAATAGTGAAGTAAAAATAGATAAGCCTAGTACATCCAAATCCTTACTAGTAGGTATAAGAGCTTTCATGCATGTAACAAAAGAAGGGTCATTTTTTGCTATATATGCCATATTTATTTTTGATGGTGAAAAGACATCAAGTAGTATTCCTAAATAATATTAAGATTTTTGAGAAGTTTTAAAAAAAAAATACAGATATTCTTTCAAAGTATCAATCCTACAATTTTTCAATTGATCTATAAGAAAGAGCTTAACTACCATTTGGACCAATCTATAGTTTATCAAAAAATGAGTTAGCTACACTAAAGGAATACATTGATAAGAACTTGGCTAAAAAATTCATATGCCATTTAAAATCTCTAGCAAGAATTCTTATCTTATTTGTGAAAAAAAAGATG